AGCTACAGATTCAATGTTGTCTTTTGAGATAAATTCTTCTGGGGGAAGGGGCAGGTGTCCACTTAGTATTTGGGATTGGGGTCGGACCTCAGACCTCCACTGCTTCCCTACTCCACATCGGTTCCCCCGTTCCAACTCCACCTTCCCCTGCCCCTCCTGGTATTACTACTCTCATTATTGGTCCTGAGGGGTTTACCTGTACTGGATTCCCTGTGTTTTTAGTTCTTATCTGTACCAGTGTACATGCTCTGGTCTAGCTGGATTTGTAAGGTAGAATTGGGGTCATAATAGTGGAGGGAATAAGCATTAAAGAACTAGGGAAAAGTTGTGTGTTTCATCGGTGCTTTACTGCAACCTGGCTGGCTCATCCCTTCCTTGTGACCCTTCTGTAGGGGGATGTCCAATTGTCTACAGATGGGCTTTGGGTCTCCTCTCCGCTCTCCACCTCATTCACAATAATATGATTTTTTGTTCTGCGTCTTCTGATAACCTGATACCTGATCCCATCGACACCTCATGATCACACAGGCTGGTGTGTTTCTTCCATGTGGGCTTTGTTGCTTCTCAGCTCGATGACCGCTTGTTTGTCCTCAAGCCTTTCAGAACCCAGATGCCATGCTGCATTTTCAATCCTCACCGGCTCCACAACTCATCCCACCCCAACTCCACCCCTGCCTCCACGAGGCCTCTGCACGGTCTTTCCCTCCGTCCTCAGTTGTCTCCCTTCAGATGTCTCCTGTGGACAGTCCTTCAAAGGCTCCCCGCCGCCCCGGTGGCCTGGCTCTTCTAGGCTGACTCCCCTGGAGCCTCCTCTCCTTGCCCGACTCAACTCTCCAGGAGTTCACCCGCCGGCCCTTCTCTGCCTGTCCTCCTGGTGCAGAGGCTGCCCAGCCTGGAGAGAGGAGGCTGTGCTCTCTGCGAGAATGGTTTTGGTAACCCCCAGCTCACACCCTCATTCATGTCTCAAGATCTCATTGATTATTATACCTCCCACACACCCCCTCCCGGGAAGTTTCCTGTCCCCCCTGTAGTCCCACGGAGCTTCTCATCTGCTTCCGCTTCACAAGATGCCTTCCACGATGGATTCTGTGTGTTCAAGTGTGTACAGACGCCCACTGTATAATGTCCCTTTGGACAGCATCTGTGGCCCCATATGGTTACCATTTTAAAAAACACACATGGTGTAAGATATAGCCCCAACATTAATCATTCTAATAACGATTGATAATATAAGAATAAGGGTTCCCGGGGATCGGGTGGGGGAGGGAGAAAATAAAGAGGAGCTGATATCTAAGAGTTCATGAAGAAAGAATGTTTTGAAAATGACGGTGGCAGTAATTGTACAATTATGCTAGATCTAATTGAGTTATGGATTGTTATACTATCTGTAAGAGCTCCAGAGAAAATTATTTTTAAAAACAAAAACAAAACCACCTCATTGCCAGGGAGCAAGTTGGGTCTGTCTCGGAGTGGCCCTATGGGACAGGGTGGAACTGTCCCTGTGCTTTTCTGAGACAGTCCCCTTTTACGGGAGTACAAAGCCTCCTCTTTTGTCCTTAAAGCAGCTGGTGGTCGAACCGCTGACCTTGCAGTTAGCAGCCCAGCGCATAACCCACTATATCAC